GACTGGCCAAATATGTCCTCACAAACACTGTAATACACATGTACAGAGTTTATATCCTGCAGGCTCAAATGAACTCATATCTTCCAGTTATGTGGTGTTGAGTGAACAGTCCCAGTATGAGCACGGGACTACAGCATGACCAGTTTAAACTTGCACTCGTTGCACTAGTTACAGCTTCAGTATTAATGTAACATTAACCCAATTTTTATAAAATTGCCTAATTCTAAAAGGATTCTTTGCAGTTCCCTGAGTAGCTTTGGTGTTGGACACAGTCTGTCATATGTGATCATAATCACATAATGTTTTCATTTAAGTTCTGAATAATGGTGTGTGATAAATTGTGTAACTAAACTGTGATGGCCAGCAGTCTTGTTTATGCACATCTTTTCAAGTCTGGACTGAATTAGGTGATCAGATTTGGAGTCGCATTTACTTGCAATGCCATAAGAATTTTTAAAAGGGCAAACTTGATTTTAGTTGGAGTATACTGCTGGCCTTTGAAGTGTCAGCTTCCTTTTCCTGTGCTGAATCTCTGCTGTTTTTAACCCCAAAAGCTCTGGACATATCTGTAACTACAACCCTTAACACACTCATGAGTGGTCTGGAACTTATTGTGTATTGTTTGAAACTTGGTCAGACTTCTTGCTGACACATTGTAGTCGCATAATAAGATGTTGCGTAGCAATACTGAACTCAAAATAAAATAAGATGTGGGTGGATGGTTACTAAGTGATGTATGTTTGTGATGTCATTAATTAATTGTCTTAATGCTTTGAAGAATCAAACTGATAGAGCAATGTGTTAGAAATGTTGGAACAATTTCTTTGGTTTAAATTAAATGTTTCCCAGTTTGCCAATTGCTTAATATTTTTTGTGGAAAGTATAATCTTGACAATTATACACACTATTAACTGTGCAGTCCACTTAAATTAGATGTCCAAGTCTCATCATGCGTGAAATAATGCAGAGGTAAAGCTATTATTTTCAGGCCGAGGTTTTAAAGCCTCTGTTTTGGCAGTCCATGTTGTTTCGTAATACCCTTTAATACACCCTCTTAGGCAACAACAATCTGCCGGGAAGGAGAACCAAAGCCTCAGCATCACAAAGCCTCAACAAATATATTAGAAACACATTTATTTTTTAACCAGGAGAAGATGAACTCAGAAGTAAAAAGACATACCAAGACAAGAAAGCCAACTAAAAATCAGACCTTGTAAGCACGGGAAAAAGGATATTTAATTAAAATAGGACCCAACACTTTCGCGTTTCGCCCAATGTAAGCTGAGATTGGCTCCAGCCCACCGCGACCCTGTAAGCAGGATAAGCGGTTGACAATGGATGGATGGATGGAGGACCCAACACTGAGATATTTCCCCTCAAATCTGAAGATATGTACCATGAGAAGATCTCAGAAGTATTACAGCTTCAATTACTTGATCAGTTGATCGACAGAAAAACAATTATTTTTTGTAGGCAAAAATGCCAAATATTCTCTGGTTCCAGCTTCGCTAAGATGAGGTGTTTTCTCTGTTTTGTCCTATTAGAAAGTAAAAATCTTTGGACAGACAAAACAAGACATAGGATGATATCACCAAGGAATATGTGATGGGTATTTTTCAATATTTGCTGATATTTAGACCAAACGATTGATCAATCAACCTTCAATAAAATACTTGACAGTTTCATTGATATTAAAAACAATTGTTAGTTACAAGCCTAAAAAAGAACTTTAAGCTACGCAGGCCGCATTATACCCACAATCCAAGTTTGGCCATTTTACCAAAACATTGTTTGAGACTAAAAAGTAATGTTTGTCATTTACCATATTCACGCAAAATATATTTGCAAGATAAGGTGAGTGACAATATTTACCAGGAGCTCACCATGGCCCTAACACCAAACAACTGAAAACACGAGTAAGTAACTACACTCTTCTGATTTATGGATGAGTATGACAGATTATATTATATTGTATTATATTGGCATTTGCACAGATAAAAATGGCTGAAACCTATTTCTGTAGGTGAAAGAGAGAGACGCTGGAGCAACAACATGTTACTGCTGGGGGATTTGTTTTTTTTTGGAGGTTTTCCAATTTGCGAAGGGGGCAAGGTCAACATAAAGTTGCCATTCTCAATCGTTTTGATTTAATTTGTCTGTGTTTTTGGGGTTCTGAAAGACCAACTGATTGGTAAAACTATCCATCTGTTTGCTCTAAATCCTAGACAACAAAAGACAACGAACAGCCCCAAACTAAAGAGCCAAAAAATAAATATTTTCAGGAAAGATGATCTACAAAGATATCGGGGAAACTCTGAATCAATGGTATTCATAAGGAGTGGCTAACTGCAAAATAATGTTTATAGAACAAAGAGGTTATGATTAACCCACAATCAAAGACATTCAGCACACCAAACCCTTAGAGATATTTACAGAGGACAGATGGTCTACCACAAGCTATTTTGATTAGTTAATTTTTTCTAATACTTTCCTGTGAAGTAATCGGTTGCAACACAGAGTGATGAGGAAGTATTTTAAATGACACATCAGTTTTGAATTCCTGGAATGAGATGGAAGTGTAAAGCTATATGTCACAACCACATCAGTCCAACTGAAATTTACCACATTAAGGAAGGATACATTAAGTACAACAGATCATGGAGGGAGCAAATTGTTCTGCCACCGTCACTCAGTGTCAGAGATCCATAGCAGTTTAACTGACATTATTACATCCACCAACAGATCTGTATAGAAGCAGCTTCTATACATTCTATAAATACAGATGTTAGGCCTTTATCTGCAGACCCTCATTTTTTACTGCTATTTTGTGACTGCTGTGGAGCTTTGATATGTGATCTGTTTTGTGCTAACCGTACTAGCCGTCTCACTTCTAAACATTCTAGGTAACTACTAATTTATTCTTGGTCTAACTAAAGTTGTGTATTTTACTCTTAACATGTGGACTCTTTTGGATGGTAAATGTTTAGTAAATTAATTAGGACTGCCCCCCGACAAAAGACTTTCCTAGACTAGTATTCATTAGTTCAAGCCTCTAGTTTCTTTGGTCGACCATTGCGTATATGGTCCTCAGTGTTGCATGTTTTCTTGTGCTTCTTCAAAACAGCTTGGACAGCACATCTTGAAACACCTGTCTGCCTTGAAATGTCTGCCGGGGAGAGACCCTACTCATGCGGTTTAACTCATGCTCACTCTTGCCATGGTGTGTGATTTTTGACAGTAACCTGTCTTTAGCAACCTCACCTTGTTAGTTGAGTTTGGCTGTTCCTCACTCAGTTTTAGGTGATAGGTGATCATTAGCACCTGTTTGGTATAAATGTTTAATCACACACCTGGCAATATGCCTACAAAACCCCTGACTTTGTGCAAGTGTATCTAGTGTACCTAATATTTGGTCTCACCAAATATTGATTTGATTATTTGATTTTCTTCTGTTCTCTCTCATTGCATTTTGTTAATTGATAAATAAATCTATTAACTTGTCCATTTTCTGAAACAGTACTGTATATTTTTTAAAATGGTTTGAATTCCAGTGCTGGGAAAGAATGTTATAATAAAATTGTTAACACTGTAAAACATTACAGAGAAATACAAAACTGTAATAATGAGCATTGAAGGGAACATTTCTTTCAATCTCTTGTTTGTGATATCTTATATTCTTCTGGTTTTTAGTCATTATCTTCAAATTTGTTGCGTTTTAACCAACATAGTTTTCAATGTTTATTGCAGTAAAAACCTTCAACGGCCAGCCACTGCTTTCAGTCTTCAGTGGAAGTGTGTTTAGCTGGCACAGCTGTGCACTTAGACGCATTGTGAGGGAAGAAGAGCCATTCTTTGTATCCATGTATGATCTTTCCATTACCAAGGAAAGCCCTTCAGGCTGAGCAGTGGACACTTTTGTTATGCAATAGTTTCTGGACAACAATGAAGGAAGGCCTGTGAGATTTGTTGACAGTAACAACAGCAGCATTGTTTCTAAAAATATTGCACGTTGCTGTCAGCTGTCCATGTTCAGGATTGTCACTGGACGGTTGCTGGGTTGAACCCCCCAGACTGGGTTTGATGGTCTGCACTGGGACCATTATTGAGTAACATTGATGTACTGATGTACCCATGAGCAGGACGCCGGTAGAGAGCAGATAATTGTGTATTTGACCAAGCAACAGTGGTTTTGTTGTTTCAGCCATCAGCTACTGATCATATGAGAGCTGCTAATGATCTTATGCAAGCAAGGATTGGAGTGTGTGTGTGTTTGGAACAGAACAGTGTAATATTCCTGTGTATGTAGACATTGTTGTGTGTATGTATGGCATGGTTAGTTTGTAGAAGGAGGACAGACACAAAACAGACATCCATGTCACAGCTTGGCACACTACCAAAACACTCCCTCGGACATACACATATTTAACTTTTACACGCACACTTTCTTAGCTGACTGGGTTTGTGTATAAACCCCCGAAAAAGGTCAGACGTGCCTATAGCGTGATTGAATCTGCCTAGTTGAAGTTTTGACATTATGAGCTGTGAATATTTTGTGAAATGTCACCTATTTGAGCTGAGTTTGCAAATGCAGTCCAAGAGAGACTCACTGAAGGAAAATGAACGAGAAATATAAGACATAGAGGGTGGCTGTAAAGGAGAGCAGTGCTTGGCTAACAGTTTCCCCCTGATTTCAGTCTTTGTGCCAAGGTAAGTAATGGATGGCTATCAGTGCTGGACTCACAAAGATGGAACTTGCATTCTCCTCTGTCTCTGGGTCAAATGTGTATTTGCCAAAATGACAGTGTTCTCTTAAACTATTTATATTTACAATCCCCAGATATTTAGCCATCACCCTAACCAAAAAACAATTGTTGGAAGCCCAGTGTGGTTTTCATATGGTGCTGTCAGCGGGAAGGAAGACGGTGTGTTTGCTTCTATGTCTGTCTAAAGGAAATATGATCATGTATAATAATACATTTTCTCTCTCTTGGTCTCTGCAGGGTGATTGAATTCATCCACTCTGTGCCGTGTTTGAGCTGGACTGAGCACTGTTAGCAGACCAAAGGTAAACAGCAATACACCACTCTTACCATTTCATACCTCACTGTCACATGTGAAAACGTCTGTTCTGTGTTTATGTGTGCTGGTATGTGCTTTATAGTGTTTGCTTTACAGAGTTGTGTACCACTTCTGTCGCAATATATAGCCAAAAGTATGTGGACCTTTTTGGATACTCCTTGTCTATGTCTTGTGTTTGGGCTGGGCTGCCCAGCTTCTATTAAGAGAAATTTTAATGATACAGCATACAGTTATATTTTAGTTACTATTTGTTCCAACAGCTTGGGTAACCCCCTTTTCTGTTTCAACAAGACAATGCCCCTGTGCATAAAGCCAGGTCCACAAAGAAGGGGTTTTCCTAGTTTGTTTAGGAAGAATTTGACTGGCCTGCACAGAGCCCTGACCTCAACCCCACTCAACAATAGGGGTGTGGAAAATAACTGATTTTTAGATGCATCACGATGCGGACTTGGACAATTCTCAATTGATTCACAAATTTCAATAATCGATTATCTAGCGGTTTAACTAAACTACTACTAAACTACTAAACTTTCACATGATGAATAAAATCAATGCATCTGTTATGACTGCATATTTATTCCTTGTTGTTTGGATTGTTACAAATACTTTGCTTTTAAAGTACTAAGTTGTCACACAGTGAGAAAAATACATCTTTATCCTATTCATTTTACAATCATATCGTAGCTCTCATAATCATGATGAGGTACCTAGAAATTCCCATCTTTGAGGTGAGATATCGAATCGTAGCGAATCATTGACCTGATAATCGAATCGTGAGACCAGTGAAGATGCACACCCCTACTCAACATCTTCAGGATGAACTGGAACAAAAACTAAAGCTTTACAGCACAACATCAGCAGCCTACATTCCTCATGTTCACGTGTGTGAATGGGAGCAAATTCCTGTAGCCGGGTCCACAATCTGATGGAAATCCTGAAACCAGAAGAGTAACTGTCATAGCAGCAGATTAATGCCCATAGGATTGAGATGTTCAACAATCGTGTAAAGTATGGGTATAATGTCTACATACTTTTGGCCACATAGTGTATTTGGTAATATTCCAAAAATGAAATAGCTTTTGACAGAATTTAAGATTGCCACTACTGTCTTTTATTACAGCTACTTGCAGACCACCTTTTGAGCCATCCTGTTTCAGTTCTTGGCTGTAATGATATTTAAACTGGTTGTAAATGTTTGGAAAAATTGTGGCTGACATCTGGTTCAGACATACTGTATAACATTTATTACCCCACTAGTGTAGCATACGATATTTTTGTATTTATGTCACTTATTCTGATTCAGTTCGTAAATATATAACCAATTGTAACAAAAATAAATAAATAAAATCAGGCAGCACACAACACAACTGATGGTTAGAAAGCTATGTAGAGGTTTCCAAACAAAATGTTCTTGTAGTGACTATGATAAATAATCACTCCCAGACTTTTACAGGCTTCTGTATTCTTTAGATTTGTGTTTCATCCCTGTTGAGCTCTCTGGAAAACTAAATGTCTCTGTGGCAACTTTTACCCATAGCCAACTCTTAAGTGCCAAAAGTATAAATCTGTGGTTAGCACAAAATAATTCCTGGACACTTAAGTCAGAAGGCATGTCATTTTATGTAACAGCCTGCAGAGGTTGGGTATTAATAGTGGAAAGTGACATGTGATCCTTTGTGTGTTGGATGTGCTGTCTCCTAAAACCAAGAAGCTTACCAAAAATATTTTAACCTCATGATTGCCTAAAAATACCTAAAAACCCTAAAAATGCATGTTAGCAGTGAGTGTGTAAAATATTCAATTAAAATACGATCTGCATGTTGGAGACATATTGCTTACAATGAGAGTGAAACTACCATCAATGCTAACAGTGCTATTGAGACAGTAGCATGGATCAGAGTTTTCCTATCAAAGTCTGATAGGCACCATCATCGACGTCGCCTGTTAATTTTTCTGGGGCTTTAGCCCTGAATGTTGTGACTGTAGCCCCAATATAATACAAACAAAAATATTTTCCAAATGGTACTCTCAGTAATATTGGATTCATTCAGCGACTACTGAATTGTCCTTAACAAAACTGTAATCAAAACATTTAGATATAAATGTTGTCAGTCAGTGTCTAGTTAATGTATATGCACTACAAACAGTCCGCCGCAAAGTAGCGAGAGAATAACATGATACACCTGTCGCTCTGTGTCTCCGTCCCACTCGCTCAGAGACGCTTTGCTCTGTTTGGGACTTTGTCTCTGCTCCAGGATGTTTCCCTCTGAAACGGCTGTGAGCTTCAGATGCTGAAAGTGCTGAAGTAAACGTTTGTGTGGATGTGTGGTGAGATTTCTGTCTGATCACAAGTGTTTTCAGTTTCGGGTTTCCGCCTCTGATGAAGAGCAGTGCTCTCGTCTCATCGAGTAGGCCTACAGTCCCAGACGGGCTCTGTGTCTGTCAGACGGTCTAAAGGGAGTAGCAGCCTACTACCATATCAGCAGAGCAATCACGCAGGGTAATGCACAGCAGTGGGGCGGTTAGATTTTGTTAAAATATTATGACTTTATTCTCGTCAGATTGTGATTTTATTCTGATATTACGACTTTTGTCTCAAAATATTATTCTGCAAATATATTCCCCAGAATATTATCAGTGTTAATTATTATCAGTTGTAATTATAAAAATCATAAATGTATTTATATGGCCTATGATAATTAATAATTAAAATGTAGCTCAATGATTTAGAGATAAAGTGGGTATAAAGTTCAGTTTGACTGTTGGCATAACAAGGTAGCAACAGAAAATTAGACAATTGATTGAGTTGCTGAGGTTATTTACTGTTGCTTTATAGACATAGTCCTACTTTGGGTAGGCGGCAGCGGGGAGGGTGAAAACATGAAAGATTTCTGGGCTGGGCTAAGCCTCCAATGTTTCAAGAGACCTGGAAATGCCCCTGGGCACCATTTGTTTAAAAAAAAAAAAAAAAAAAAAAAATCAAATTCACAAATGTAATGCATATTACTGCTTTATTCATTGTAGATTTTTTCTAAAATATTTCCTCCAACACAACCCTACAGTAATAACTTAAATTCATCTCCTTAAAGTTGCCAGGTTGAATCCAAGATCCGATTTTCTTTATAGAGCCATTTCCCCCAGCTGTTTGTTTGTTTGTTTGCTTACAAACTACATGTATGTGATACCGACACACATACCATGTAATTATACATATACATTTCACATGTCTGCTGTTACTAATCTGCAGTATAACTGGGCAGAGGCTGTGAATCAATGATGGGAAGAGTACTAGAAATCTATACTCAAGTAAAAGTACAATTACTCCCATTAGAAATTGCTCAAGCAGAAGTAAAATTTGACAATCTTACTTAAGTACCTGGTCAATGAACTAGCTTAATAGTGTTCTATAAATAAAGTTTATTGTTAATTATTTGTAATTATTTATTATATCATCTGAGTTAGATGTTTATAGTGTGCACACTTGTTCTGCATAGACTAAAGAAATTAAAAAATTAAACTTGTTTTTTACCTATTTGCATTACAATAAGCTTCAGGCAACAGTTTTTATACCAAATACAGTGTTTGACAGCTCTGCTGTATCATGTTTGAGCTTGTATGGAGCACTTAAACACATAATTAAACTTCATCTTCAGCCAGTAGTACCCAAGGCTAGTGGTGAAGTAAATTTGCGTGTGAGAGAGAGAGATAAGAGAGAGAAGGTTTGGAAACACTTAGTTGGAAATGTTGCATTTTTTTGAGATGATCAGACAGTATTTTCAGAAATTTCAAGGGAGTGTATGTTTGTGTGTGGGATGCTGCCCTGTTATCATTCAGTTTTGGAGTGAGTGTAGCTGTACCCACACAGCTGCATATACTGCACTGCTTATGTAGTACTGATGATCATATCAAAGTGGTGTGTATATACATATAAATGTACACAGTCTGTGTGTGTGTGTGGTTGTGGGCATTTGTGAAGGGAGTGGCTCATATTTCTATGTTTATTATACGAGCTGTATAGGTTTGGCAACATATGGCACGGTAAAAATATATAGAGTAATGTCTAATCATGATAAAATTTAATTTGAATGAGTAAATATGCTGCTATAGCATAACTAAATTGTCTTCATTAAGTATTGTATTTTCTGTGTAAGGAACCAGAGTCAAATCCCTTGTATGTGTACACGTACTGTGTCAATAAAGCTAATTCTGATGAAGAACAATACTGACTGCAGCATTTTAGCTTTTATATAGTAGCACAGTGACTCCAGGGATTGCAATGTCGGTCCAGAGTTAAATATCTCAACAACCTTTAGGGTGCCATAATGTATGATATAGCTATCATCCTCAGGAATAAGAATATCCTAATTTTCCTCCAATGGCAATATAATGTCATGTCAATGTCATTCTGTTTCTTAGAAGAAGAGTCTACTTTTACCTTTCCTCTAGCACTACTGGTCAGTCCTCCCAATATAGGTGGCGGTCTGAGCTTAGTGATGTTGTGCCTACTTGCAGAGCAAGTTGGTAAACAATTGTAGTGGGAACAAAGGAACAAAAACAAAAGTGGATGATGCAACATAGCTAATAAGCTACATTAGCTTCCTCCATTTTGGACTCTCTGTTCCCTTAAAGGTCAGCATCACCAAGACACTTTGCCTGTCAGTGACCGAATTTGCATGTCAAAGTTCAACAAAGATGAACTTGATCTGAAAAGTTCAGTCAGATTTACTTTAGGCCAAAACATAGGGGACAGGAATCTCTTTAAGATTTCTTGCTAACCTTAAAATAAACCCTTTTCATTCTGTTGACGGCTTTACCTATCCTCTGGCACCATCCTAAGGCCAAATTTGACTTTTTTGGCCCCAGTGCTGGTAAGAATCTGAGAATAGCACTTGTGCCTCCGCTTTTCCACCGCCTCAACTTGTATGGGGAAAATGTTTTGGGCCACAGGAGCAAATTGGCAGCAAGGATGACTCTGCTGCACCATAT